GATGAAGGGATGCTCAGTATCCCAAAGCCCACGGCTTCGATGGGGTTCCTTTGTGCTGTCCCACCAGGGCTTCTGCAGCATCAGGATTTCCCCACTGGTTTCTCCTCCCTGCTTTACAGACACACAGCAGGGAAAAGGGACCCAGGAGAACTGGACAAGTCGTGTGACACAATGTCACATCTGGCATGGGACAAACTGCTTTCTCTCTTATTGCCACAGTTCATCCTCTGTGGAAAAGAACTGACTCCCCCTCTGTGCTGTATTGTAAGGGTACATTCATTAATGTTTCTAAAGCATTCAGAGCTGTGGCAGTGGGGGCTGTGCAGTATGAAGTGACTCTTTCTGTTCTCTGGTGTCTGTAATCGTTGTAGGGGATATGCTGTGATTCAGAAGCCAAAAGCAAGTCAGCGACAAGTCCTTCAAGATTTATGATTTAATAGTTTTGTTGCAAATAGCTGGACTAATTCTGCTGTGCCTTCATTCTGATATTTTACCTCTGTTCATTTTCATAACCCAGGAGAAAGATTTAATTTTAGAAGTTTCAGTTGACAGAGACATGCTGGTGCTAGATACGTATTTCAGATCATTGTCATTGTACTCTATTTTTAAATTCAAGTGCCAGCCAACCTAAAGTACATACCCTGTTCTATGATGGCTGCTCTGCAACCGTGCTAACAAAGCTGAATTCTTCCAAGCTTTAGCAGAAGGCCAGCAAATTTACTTATATAGTTTCCCTGTTTAATGAAGGGAAATGTTCTAGCACCTTTTCATTATCACAGAACTAAAACTGGTCATAAAAACAATCCTCCTCCCCCCGAAGGCCTGCGCAGGCATTGGCAATTGTTAAGATGCTTGCCTATCAACAGCCACTCGAGAGAGAATTTTAAATGGTTTTGTGACGTCAAGGAGGCCCAAGAAAACACAGTCTGGTGCCAAATTACTTCCATCATTGAAAGCCCACAGTAAGAAATAGATAACACAGAAATAAATCTTTTGTGCAGTAGCTATCTCATGATATGCTCTAGCGGCTCCAGTAAGTGAGGTTGTCTGGTATAGGAATAGCTGAAGAAGATGAACTTTCAGAGCCTCATTTTCTAATTTATGATTAATGAAAAGGCAGCCTAATCTGTCTGACATCCTGCTGTCTGGACACAATGTCTGCAGGCAGCTTGGACCTCGCAGAGGGAAATGCCCTGACAAAGTTACAGCCTGCAAAGGTGATCAATTTAAGCACGGTGGACAAAAAACTGTACGTCTTGAACGAAAAGATGGACAAACTGTTGCACTTCCAAGAAGATCTGACAGGCAAACTGCAGCAGGTTAACAGAGGCATTGATGATGTAGAAAAAGGCATTAACAAGCTCTCAGTATCCCGAGCAGCTCCTGCTGACACAGATGCAATGCAGAAAGGCCTAAAGGTATCGGACAGTGCTCACCAGGCTGACGTCCAGAGCATATGCTCAGAAGTGTTGAAGCTGATGAAAGCTGCCCAGCTAGATGCCTCAAAGCATAAGGAGAGGCTGGCAAAGATAGAGAAAAGGGTTGATACCCTGGATAAAGTTATTACGTTTGTGGGCGAAGTATTAAAAAATTCTAAAGTAGTGGATTTTATTCTCAAAGGCATTGTGCCCTGGAAGAAGGGGAGTCTGCTGGAAATCCCTGTTGAGGTTGGTTTAGTTTTACTGTTCTTCATCTTTTACTTCATGGTGTATCAGGGCTTTAGGCTCTCCTGTTGATTTTTTGCATGATGTATAATTCAGGCTTTCCTTTCAGTGTTGCTGTTACAGGTTGCTGCTGTGACCTTTGAGCTGCAAGGCTCTCACGGCAGGGACCAAGCCCCAAACATGCCTTGCAGTCCAGTGTTTGAGGTTCCTGAAGTGTGCCAGGCAGTCCTGTAACAAGTGTGAGGAGTGGATTGCTACTCTAAAGGAAAACTCAACTTCTCCCAATGCTGAAAGCTCAGCAATGTCACTCAGATCAGTGACTGAATTGAGGCTCCAGCACAAGTGAAGCGTTTTTTGTTGGAAGAAGCTTCTGTTTCCTTGTTCGTGAGTTCTGAACAAAGCACCAGTTACTAAAACTTGTGCTGACTTATGGTCATGTTTGTGAGCAGATTTATATGTCCTTAGGCATCTAAATTGTCTTTAGCTACAGCTTTATGATGCGGCTATGACTTCATCAACTCCATCGACTTTGTTCGCTCCTGAAATCAAGTAGTTCTTGTGCTTGCAAGTCCTAGAAATCAGTTCCTAAGGATTTCTTAGTTGTTGAGAACAATGAGGGAGGAACAAGCAAGACCAGTACATAGTTCATACAGTGTTTTGAAATAGATTAACCTTGTTTTATAAAAGTTACAGGCATCTGGAATTAGTTTTAGCTAATGGGAGTTTCCATTTTTCACAATGGCTTATATCCCACCATGGGGATGAAAGGGAGGTAAACTGCAAGAGTTGGAATATGTTAATTCATTCCAAGAATTTCCTTGTATGTAGAGGTGTGATTACAGTAAAGAGAATTTAGCTCAAATGAAAATGTCCATTTGTATCTTAATCAAAATATTTTCCACCAAAGCTGTAAAATGTTTTGATGGGAAGGTACCTCTAAACTTTTAGAAAAACAGGGCAGTGCTCTCCTGGTCTCCCTTTTTTAAGTGCCAGCCTCTGACAAGTGAACCGGACTGTTGGGAGACAGAAGAATTTATAAAGTGTTTCCATTAGTATTGAGAACAATAAATTATGTATTACTTATCAACCTTAAATCTGGCTAAAGGCTGTACGTGCAGTTCCAGTTTCAGTTGTACAGGTTTTCTGAGAAATGGGAAAGTTTGATATTTTTGGTTAAAGCTGCATTGTTCCAAATCACTGCCTGCAGTCACTGCAGAATGCCTGGAGACAGACACTGTGCTTGCTTGATTTACACCTCAGACTGAACTGGCACACAGTGTGTCAGTGGCCATGGGAAGAGGAGCAGAAAGAAGATGAACTAGTTCTGTTTCCAGATGAAAACAGCAGTAAGGAGGGATGTAAATAACAGGAGGTCATGTTAGAGATACTGGAGGAAGGATTCACAAGGACTCCTGGCATGCTGGTGGGATGAGCTGTGGAGTAGACACCATGCACACACATCTGTGTTTACAAAAGGAGAGGGAAGGAGCTCAGAGCTCCATCCAAGTTCTGTGGACAGGCAGATAGAGACTGAGAGGGGAAATGGCCTGCTGGTGGTGAGCTGGGGTGGGCTAGGGGTCAGTGTCCCAGGCTCTGAGCTCTGCCTTGCCTGGAGAACAGGCAGGGTTTGCTGGGCAAGCAGTTTCATGGCAAACTCCTGTTTTGCAATATGAACATCATTGTTCTCCTTTTTTTCTCTGGTCATGAAATTGGAGCAAAAGGTCAGTTACAAGACCTTAAGATACGTCTGTGCTTTGATCCCAGGCTGAACTGGGCTTGAGTTAGTGAGGTCCCTTGTGTATGTGACCCAGCCAGGTAAGGTGGAGCAAAGCACAGGTGAACTTGGAAACCAATCCTGCTGAGCCACGTGCCAGCTTTGCTCTGGTTTTTGCAGCCTGTGGTGTGATGGCAGCACAGGCACATCCAAAGAGCTCCACAATTGTGTGGGGGCTGCACAGAAGAGAACCTGCTGCTTGCTTGTTTGTGTTTTCCAGCCTTTGCTGTTGGTGGCAGTGTCCTGCTTATCAGGGGGCTGGCTCGGGATGGGGGGAGTGGGGAGGCTGTGTTTGCATTTCTGGGTGAAGCTGTTTGTTGATGCTGTGACAGCATTTCAGGGATGCCGTGGGAATGCTTATGGAAGAAGCTTTGTGGGGTTGAAGTCAAATTAATAAAAGACTATGAATTGAAGCTTCATAGGATCCAAACCTCTGACTTCTTACTTAAAAACAGACAGAAAAACCCACCAGCATTAAACTGTCACTTACCCAAGGCTTTCTTTGCATGTAGGATTTTGCAAGAATAATGTTCACCCTGGTCATTGTTGCAGGTTTTCTTAGAGCTGTAATAAAAATGGTAATGATCTTTTACTACTTTTACTCTTCGGGTGTTTTGTTTTTTGGGAAGGGGGAGGTGGGGAGGGTCTGTGCAATCTCTAGGGTTGGTGCATGGAATCCTTAACTGCTTTTACTAACAGAGGAAGGGCTGATGTGCAGCTCTCTTGTAATCAGTTCTCTGCAGAAATATTTTACATGTTACTCATTTGCTTGTAGAAATAAGGATAGGAGGTTTCTCATCAATAGATTTTTAGCTATATGCCAACCACAAGATATCTTATGCCTTTTCCTATTTTTGTGCAATGCTTTTTGCTAAATATTATTTAGTTTTAATTTTGCTACAAATGTGTTGCTTTGAGAAGTCTTTAGTGGTGTTATGATGGAAGATTGCTCCTCTCAAATTAATTGGGGGAAGAACTTTGCTTAAAAATTAAAATCTGCTTCTAAAAGACAATAAGTCTGCTTTTGATCGTTCCAAAGGTGACATGTGAAATGTTCAGAACATACACAAGAGCTGCCACAAAGCTAGAGGCTCTTTTTTGGTATCACCTCTGTCAGGTCACATCATGAATCTTTAGATGCCTTGAGACAAATATGTTTTGACAAATACATTCAGAGACATCACTTTTCGTTCTGGCACCAGAGAAAAAGCAGCAGAAATAAAGTATCATTTCTTTTTCTGCTCTCTCATGTTTCACATGTCATGCTTTTTAATCAATATGAGTAAAGATGACGGGGGCAAAAGCTATGACAGTGAAAATTTTGGAAAGCAATGAGCTAATGTATTAATGTGTGTTATCTTGTTTTAGAAGTGTGCCTGCCTGCAAAAGCAGGGAGAGATTGGAAAAAGGAAATAAAAACAGCAGTAACTAAAAACTCAGAGGTTAAAAGGTGTTAGTGTCCAATTTACAGAGTCAGAATGCCTACACAGTTGGAGGAACCTGGTGGGAATTAGACACCCTTGGCTGTAACTGTTGTTTTTGTGTTCCCCTGTCATTTTTAGGCCAAAGATAAGCCCGAGGAGAGTGGTGCAAAACCTAAGCATGTGCTTAGTAACAGAGGAACCCAGACTGAAAGCAAGAAGCCTCTGGAAGGTATGTATCACTCCAGGCATGCTACAGGCTTTGACTCCAGAATGTGCAGCAGACAAACTGGAAATTAATAGGCTGCTATTTTCCACTACCTGAATTACTCAAATGTAACTGAGTAACTTTGCCCCCCTGAGCTGGGAAAATAGAACTGTGCTCACCTCCTCCAAAGATGACTTGTCTCCAGGATCAAACCCCGCAAAAAGCTAGAAGATAAAGAAACTAAAAGCAGGAGGTTTGTTTAGCTGCACAGGGAGTTTTCTTGTTTTGGTTTGTTTGTTTGTTTGTTTGTTTTGGATTTCAGTGAGTTGAGTTCAGCGAGCAGTGCTTGTTTGCAGGTACTGTGAAGATAGTGGCAATATCACATAGCAAACCTGATAAATTCTTCTCCCTTAATACATCTGAGCCAGCCCTCCCTCCTCCCCCTCTCTGAAAGAGGAATCTGTTGACACTGGGAATATCTTTTTTTGATCAGCCGGTTTCATTGGCCTGTCAGGGCTGGATTCCTATTTAGGATGTATCTGTCAGGGCATTGCCCTGTTGCATCCATTGTTGATGCCTGTGGAGCTGCAACAGGGGTGAATGTGATGTTGAGCAGGCCCTGTCATGCTGTTGTCTACACAAACGGTCAGTGAATCCTTTGCATTATGGGCAATCCCTTATTTAGCTTCATCACTTTGGAAGTGACAAAAGTAAAGCAAATTATCCCAGTTCTGATTCAAAAGCTACACGGGGTTGTGAACTGACCTTGATAGTGTAAGGATTTTAAACCTTTTGAAGGGTTTCTTTCTGTCTTTTCAGCTGTGTTTAACTGTGTATGTTATTTTGAGTGGTGGGTTGCTTTGTCCCCTCTCTGTTTTGCCATCACTTTCACCAAGGGTAGGTCATTAATGCATTATTTTATTCAGAGGCAAAAAGTGGGAAAAAGCTGGATGAAAACAAGGGAGCATGTGAGAAGGTGAACACTTCTGGTGCTGTAGCCCCCAAAGCTGACTCCAAAGCCCAAGTTAAGGAGAAGACAGCACAGCAGCAACTGGTAGAAGGTGCTGGCAAAACACACAGCAACAAAAGCTCTCAACCACAAAAGGACATTGGTGTCAAGGCTTTGAATCAACACAACGGTCTTCCCTTGATACATGAAGATCGTGTGGGCAACCAAAACGTTCCTGCTAAAGCACAGAATCTGGACAGAGCCCCACAGCCTGATGAGTGCCACAGGCAGCTTGTTCATCAGAAACTCGGGAAGAATGAAAACAAACCTCCCCCAGTGAGTGTGGCATCCCGGGAAGCTGCACCCTCCACATCCCAGGCTGTATCTGCCACAGGCTGTGAGGTGACACATACCAGGTAATGGCCTTGCTGGTGGCTTTCTGTGTGATCTGAAACCATTTCATGTGTTAGAAGGGAAAAAGGAAAAGCCAGGTCATTAAAGGAGGTGGCTCCTGGGATGGGAGTGGGGAAGACCTGACGAGTGGTTAAGGCAAGGAACTCAAAGGGCCACAGGTCAAGTCATGTGAAGCCAAGGAGTCAGAGGGCTGTGGAGGGGAGGGAGGGGGTTTAGATCATCAGCTTCTGTGTATTAAGCATAGAAAGGTGACCACCATTGGAGAGCTCATTTTAAACCACTCATTCCTTCCCAGCTCCATAGTTTCTCTAAGAATGAGGGTGAAAGGAACATGAGATATTTACTAGAACATGACAAAACCAAAGAACTTGTGGTTTTGTGTTTTGTTTTTGAATGTCTTGGTCACCTAAAGATTGTTTGTTTGTTCGTCTCTGTCAGGCTAATCTTTTCCTTGTATAATTGTTTTGTAATGTATGTAATTGATTTACATTCCATTTATTTGAACTTTTAAAAACCCCCACACCAGAAAATTACAAAAACTCACAACCACAAGACCCCTATTAACTAAACCCCAGAAAATGGAACTTCTGTGTGAGATTTTAACTGCCAATGCATTCTCTGTCTGGGCAGGTGACTATAAAGTAATTTATATGCCTGTGTGTGGGTGATAGACACACTCATCCATACACACAGGTGTATATATGTATGTTACTTTGCATGGGGAATTTCCCAGTGTTTTGTGTGTACAGACTGGTGCCCAAAGACTAGACAGAACATGACATTACTTTTGTGTCCGTGCAATTTGAAAACTCCATAGTGGTATTAGTGCATATAGAGTGGGCACTTAAATCCTGTGCAATGAGTAAGTGTCTAATGGGATTACAGGACTCCTAAAAAAACCCCCACAAAACCCCAAACAAGTCAACAAATAAAGTGAATGAAGAATAATTTACCAAAAATGAAAGAAAGTTGTCCTAATGTCAGCACATAGGCTCCCTGAGAGAAAGAGCTCATTGTGATGACTGGCACACTGGGAGAATGTGAGGATGTGGCAGGAGAAAGTAGAAGCTTTCACTGCTGTGACCTCTTTTGAAACGTTTGTGTCCAGTTATAGACATGGTTACCTCCAGACTGGTTGCTGCAGTGACAGTGACAGCAGAGGGACCTCCCTGTACTTTCCCAGGGGGTTTTAGGCTCTGGCTGGTGATCCACATTGACTGTGCTTCAACAGCTGGAGTGGGTCCATGTGGGGATGGCTGGGGGGTGGCTGTAGAGGAGCTGTTGCTGTAACTCCTTGGAAGTCAGTGCTGGTTGAGGATGATGTGCCAGGGGGTGAACCTGGAGATGGGCAGCAGCTGATGGGTTTGGACAGGAGGGTGCCTGAGCCCCAGAGACTTAGTTTTGGAGAGGAGGGAGGCCAACAGGTAACTGGAAGGCAGAAGCCAGAGTAAACCCCAGGGGAAGCTGCAGCTTTCCTACCCAGGACACCCATTATGCTTTTGAGTGTGAAGTCACACAGGGTGGTAAACACCTCTCTGAAATGGATGCAGCTTTTAATGAAGTTTGTAAAGCCAAGCAGAAGTGTCAAAAGAACATTGTGTTCCCCAGCTTGGAGAAATGCCCAAGAGTCCTGCTGGGTCCAGGCTTGTCTAGATAGGAGAGGACGTGTTTGCTCGGATCTGTGTTCAGGTGCTCTGATAGCTCACACTGCAGCAGCTGAGATTCATAGCACAGCAAAAGGGTGTTAAAGATAGAGAAAATGAGAAACTTCAGACTCCTGTAATACAAAAGCAGAAACATTTTCTTTTATATCATCTTCTGTAATAAGGCTGCTGCACTGAAAGAGGCAATAACCTTTCTGAAAATGAGGTATGTTCTCTCCTCGATAACAGGAATTTTCTTTACTTACCATTGTATAAAATCCACTTTACAGCTTCCCGAGTTTCAGTTCAGCCTCACTAAAATCAGGCAGCTCATGACAGTTGGAGCAGTAACAGTTGACTCAAACCTTATCACATGGATGTCTTTGATGGATTTTAGGAGCACAGAGAATTGGTTCTAACCTGTATTCTTTTTGGGCAGCATAAGAGGGAAAAAAAAAAATCTTTAAACTTTTCCAGTAGCTAGAATGCCAAGGAAAGTAGTATTGATGGAGTGAAGGGGTTTATGAAAGTTGGATTTTTAAGAGAAAGCTGTGGAAAGAATGCTATCCCATCAGAAGGCACAAACACAGATGTCTGAGTGTGCAAGGCAGCCAGCTGGAAGAGGACTGGGGGTGGATGCAAACCATTGGATTTCTAGAGCCATACGAGCTTTCAGCCATTTAGATAATCAGCCTGTAATTTGTGAAGGCAATCACTGTCCCCTCTCTGCCCAGATGAGTGGTATTTTATTAGACCAACTGCAATAATTGCAAAAAGTGGGTGAGCTTTCAAATGTGGGATTAACCCTTAGCAGAATGAGACATTTTGCTCAGCAGGAGGCAGGCATGAACACTGATGAGGCCACGGGAAAATATCAGAGTGCTTTTTGGTGCTCTTCCCTTAGCGGTTGTGAGTATCTCCTAAGAGGATTGGTACACATAGGTGTTATTAATACTGTAGAAATCTGCAGGTTTGGAAACTTATAGATTTTTCTTCCCCTCAAAAGCTGCAAAAGTAGGGTTAGCCATCTGAATCAAATGTTGACTGTTTGCTCTGCAGGTTATCCATCAGTGTACATATGACTGGCACGAAAGAAAAGATTGACATGGTCAAGGAAGGAAATGCCAGTGATCAGAAAGGTACAAGTCCCAAAGTAAAACCCCCATCCTCCACACCAGCAGACTTGAAAGGAGTCAAACAGCTGCCTGACAAATTAAAGCTTCAACAGAGTCCTAAAAACATCAGCACTGAACCAAATCCAGAAGTTAAAGGGGACAATAAGCAAAATGAACTTACACCTCAAACAGGAAAACAACAGCCTTTACTGAGCAAGCCCAAGCCAGGTAAAAAGGCTGAAGAGAAATCAGAACTAAAAGGCGAGCCCAAAACCTCACAGAATAACTCTGCAAAGGAACCTGCAAAAGGTGTGGGGGTAGAAGTGAAAATCCATCAGGAAACAGCAAAAGCAGACAAATCCCCAAAAGATTCCAACTCTGAGAGGAGAGAATCTGAGTCTGCATCTTCAGGAGGAAGTGCAAATGATGTTGGTCAGGGCCCAGGAGTGGCACCAGAGAAGAGAAAGGCGCTGGACAGTGACAGAGCTCTTCCCACGCAGGGTGAAGTGATCATTGGTGAGTTGCTCACAGTTACTCTTGGAACCTGTAAACTGAGGATTTTGTGCTGTTCCTGTCTGTTGGATGTACAGTAATAGCTGGAGCAGTGCTCAGTAGAACACCCACGTCTTACACTTGAGAGCGTTTTGCCATGGGCACCTTTGACTGTGTAAATAGCACTTACCATTTGTACAGACCCCTTTAATAGTAAATTTCCTTTCAGAGTGTGTTTTGGGGGAAAAAATGCCATTTAAAATAAAATAGGGTGAAGTGTATGTGTGATCAGAAGCATGAGTAACTTTGAAAAAAATACATTTATTCCTTAGGATAGAGTATGCAAGCCATACTTAAGCAGCTCCGGGCTGGAGATTCAGAGCAGAACAAAATACTGCAGGAAGAGAATCTTGCCATGGCCTGTGCTGCAATGTTTCAGGGAGTGCTCGTTCCTGACAGCACAAATATGTGTTCCAGGATGTACCCACAGGGGTAGATGTCCTGACCTGGATCTGGCATTCTCAGCAGTGGCTGGAGATGGATTGAATGCATCTTAAATTGCAGCCCAAGATACCTGCAGATGAGCTGTAAAATTGTTTTAAATGGAGGACACCAAAAATGGCCTTAATGAAGTTCTACCCTAGAAAAACTTGAACATTAAGTGATCATGGTTAACTGATTTAGCTTACCACAAACTGACTAAACTTTATAGTTTTAATGTTAATATTTGCAGCTTTAATTTGAAGATTGTCTGCAAAAATCTTGCTGCTAGGAGGAACTTCATGACTTTACCAATCACTGCCATCGTTCATCAGTGCTGTTTGTGTTGGCCTTTCCAGGTGCCCCCTAACAATTAAAAGATGATCAATTGTAATTTTTTTCAAACTTCCAGGTAGTTTTTTCAGGTGGCCATTTCTGTTAATGCATAAACTTGTCTCCCAAAGGTGTCCAGTGGGTTTATTGTGATAAAAAAAAGGAGTTGAGATTCAGGAGGTGGGTGCTTGTTCTCAGTTCTGGGACTTTATTCCTCATCTGTAAGAGTGTTAGCAGTGAAAGCCCCTTGCTTGAAGTAACAGAGAGATTTTGGATTTGTTCAGCATCCCAATTCTCAGGGCTAGCTGCAAAGGCAGGGATTCTTTTCCTTGCGTGCTACTCTAAAAAGAGTGAAAGAATTGCATGCTTAATGTTATCCAGATACTTCAGTGCTTGTCTGAATTCCAGTAGATTAAAAAATGATGGCATGGTAAGGAACATGAACAAAGGGAAGAGGTGGGAGGGGGAGCAGTGCACTTTACTGTAGAGTTTGAGGTTGAGTGTTTGCGTTCGTAGCCTGTTGGCAGCAGTCAGACACTGCCTGACCCAGTCTGTGTCCCCAGTATTTTCCCTAGAGCCCCACAGCCACTGCAGCACTGGGGGCTGTGTCAGCAGTGCCTGTGGGAGAAACTGGGATCATCCCTCCAGGACAGCAGTGCTGAAGGTGGGAGAGCAGCAGACGTGGTTTTGTGGAGCTGTGGGTACCGGGAAGCACAGAAGGCAGCTGGGACTTGACATTACGTTTAGCAGGCACAGCAAGGGGATGGGCCTTGAAGGTTGAGGTCACTGGTGTGAGAGAGGTGAAACAGTGCAGGGGTGTGTGCAGAAACACCTCAGTGACCAGCTTGTCTCCTTTCAGACGACAGTCCTTCTCCTCCAGCCCCTTTCGAACACCGCATCGTGAGTGTCAAGCAGACGGAGGTGACAACCTGCTACTCGGTGTGTCGTCACGAGGTACTGGGGGGGTGAGTATCCCTGTTTCTGATGCTGTGCTGCTCTTGGAGAAAAGCAGTGAGCTTGGAGAGCTAGAGCTAGCTTCTTCGGATGGCCCCAGGCCATGTGTGTGTGTGAGGCACATACAGGCTCACAGCTGCCAGAGTGAGCAGGTTCATCCTGGAGACCTCTGAGCTTTCATAGTAGCTGTTGAATCAAGGGGTGTCCCTTGGTTTCTGTTTCAGCTCCATGTTCAGATGCCTGACTGTCGTCTTGGATGACTAGTTTTTTCATTTGCTGTAATAATCCTGGCCTCAGCTGGTGTCGTGAGGAAAACCTGTACCCTTAAGGCAGACACATTGAGAGCATTTGAAGTCATCAAAGCCCATTAGAATTAGGTCAGGCAGCTTCCAAAAATGTTTTTTTTTTCCCATGCTGAATTGCACATTAAAGAAAACTAAGGAAGAAATTATTATTATTTTGACCTTATGTTGAGTTTTCACCAATAGGAAGTCTGCAGCTGCTTCAGCTTTTGTGTTCTTGTATCCTTACTTATGTGACAAGAAGGCTTGATTTACACATTGATCCACTTACCAATATGGCTTATAATGGCTTATACTTATAATAAGTATAAGCAATATGATGCAATAGCAGGGAAGGCAGTGTTTAGAAATCATCCCAGGGGGCATTAACGTGTCTGCGTGACATGGGGGAGAATTTACAACACGCGAGAAATGCAGTCTGTGGAGTGGCTACAGTTACTGGTCTTATGGTCATTTAAAAAGTTATGAGACCAGGACAGAAATATCCCTGTTAATATACCCACAACCACAGCAGTGAAGGACAGCAGGCGGGTCCAGTTACAGGGCTGAGCAAGAACAGGGTCGGTCATCGTGCCACAGCGAAACGCAGTGATGAGAGGGTGGCATAATATTTTAATGTAAGCACTGAACAACTGGCTGGAAAGATAAAACTAATCCTTCCTAAGCTGAGAGAAAGAGGAGCTCCGTGCTGCTGGCCACCCGATTCCGTTCACTTTGTACTGGGCTATTTTTGCCCGGCGACAGGAATAGTCGTAGGAGAGGTTTTTGTGCTGAGCTGTGCTGAGCTGGTTTCCCATCTTTTCCTTGCCATCCACAGGGGGCGTTTTGGGCAAGTCCACAAGTGCACGGAGATATCGACTGGTCTCAACCTGGCAGCCAAAATCATCAAAGTGAAAGGAGCCAAGGAGAAGGTAACCCCGCTGCTGTGAGCCCGACTCTGAGCCTGCCCTCACTGCCAGCACCGCAGCCCCCCTTCCCTGCCTTGTTGTTGGGTACCATCAAAAACTGCAAAATCTGTCTTACTAAGGACCAGCCTGGACTTTGTATGACTGTTCATCATTCCCCGTGCTTGTGATTAAGCCTTATGTCCTCCTGAGACCTGTGGTGTAGCTGTTTCTGGGTTTTACAAATAATTCTGTTTCAGTATGTTGAGATTTAAGGAGGGTGTTTTGCTCATTTTTTGTTGCTTTGTTATTTTTCTCCAGGAGGAAGTAAAAAATGAAATCAACATCATGAACCAGTTGAATCACGTGAATCTGATCCAGCTTTACGATGCTTTTGAAGCCAAAAATAGTGTCACTCTGATCATGGAATAGTAAGTTTAAATTACTTCAGGAATTGTCAGATGTTTGGGTTTTCTCAGGTCACTAAAGGAAATAAGGAATGATAATTCAGAGGTGTGAAGAAGACTGGAGTGGTTTTTCAATCTGAGAGAGACTTGATCTCACTCTCAGAAGGGAAAAAAAAATGTTTTAAATGGAATTTCTTAAGGTTAAAAATCATATATTTGGCAAGATTGCAGTTTAAACAAATGATAAGAAAGGCAGCTGTCTTCAAGAGTATGGACCAAGTTACAAGATGGTTAATGAACAGAACTTCCCCATGGTTCATTTTTCATTTATCTTACAGGCCCCAGCATTGTCCCTGGATACCAAATTACATAAAAGTGTCATGACTAAATAAAATCTCATATTAGGGAGAGAGTGAAAGTGAGAAACCCAGACAAGAGGAGTGAGATGTTTTAAGTAGAATTACAAAAGATATGGAGGAGGTAGAAAAGTGATTAATTATACACATGGTCTGCCTTTGAATAATTTTAGGGTTAGTAAAAGTGTCTCCCCATTTGAAGCTAAATAAGAATTTTCATCTAGATCAAATATGGGATTCACATAGGAAAAGGAAGATTTCATGATGTATTCCTGTTGCCTTTTTCTGTGTATTGGCATATTGATTTACAAAACACCTGAAGTTTTAGAACCTAAAAACTGAGTTTCTTCTATAGAATGATTTTTAATAACAATGTAGGGGGAAAAAAAAGAAAAAAATAAATAAAAACTAAAAATATAAGACATTTAAAATGTGTAAATTGAAATATATACTTTAAGTTTTTACCTTGCAGAACTTCTCAGAGCTCCATGTCTGACTAATTTTCTCTTTCATGCTGGGTTAAGGTCAATTGTCAGCTCATGTAAAATAGTTTTCAGTCTGAGATGTTTCATTTAGTTAATTTTGTAGATTGAAGACTTATTTTCCCTTAGACTAAGATGAATGAGTAATACATACTTTGGTGCTTCCTGTAGGTTCTTCGGGTCCCCATCCCATCCCCAGGTCATGTGGGTTTGGGTTTGTCATGTATCTCCCCTCAAAAGTTAGTGAGAACTTTTCCATATTTGCACTTAGATTGACACTTAATTCCACGCAGAGAAATTAGTCTCTTGAAGTCATTGAGGCTACTGATGTACTTTATATGGAATTTGTTGTTAGGACCCTTGCTCGATTACAGAGCCTAATTCCCAACTTGGAAATTAATCGAGCTAACACAGAATTTTAAGGAGTTTTAACAATTTTCTTTGTCAAAATTTTAGTCTTGATGGTGGTGAATTATTTGACCGGATCACAGATGAAAACTATCACCTGACTGAGCTGGATGCCATCCTGTTCACCAAACAGATCTGTGAAGGAGTGCACTACTTGCACCAGCATTATATTCTGCATTTAGACCTGAAGGTCAGTTGTTTGTGCTCTCTGTGCTTTGGTGATGCTGTTTGAGCCACCACACTCTCTAATTACAAAGTCATTGCTCATTTCATGGATTTATGTCAGAAAGGAACAGACTTAATGCAATAGTACAATGAATGGAGCTCGAGAGATTTATCACTTTTTTCCGGTGTCTATTCAGTAGCCTGCCTGGAATAGTGAACTGGTCAGGATTTTGTGTTTTTGCCTTTCTTAAATCAGCAGCTTTTCGTTCTGGGCAATATTTAAACAATGCCCTTTTGTCATCAATTAAAAAAGCCCCACCTAAACCCTCTTTGCCTCAAAATGCCCACAGTATTCCCTCCATTTCCCCCACCCCTTTGCAACTGTGTTCAAATCAATCATCTATTCACCTATTCAGTCATCTTTCTATAGTTTGTACTCGTTACTGCCTGGAACCAACCTGAGGCAAATGACAATGTTTTCCTAATGGTCCCCTAATAACTGATATTTTTAAACAGAAATACCAACTGTTAGGGTTTTTCCCCCTGCTTGTTTATACACAAGCCTTACACAAGTGATATTAGACCTGGCTGGCCTTCTTGCAGTTCTGCAGTTGTAACAAGTTTGGACCCCATCACCCCCGCCCCATCCCCACCTTGAAAAACATTCTCATTGGGAAAAGAATTCTTTGTGGATGCATTTGGCCTGTTTCTTGTGGCCTTTTGTGGAGGTACTTTTATAGATAACAAGTAAATCCAGTGGGTGAGCCTCAAGCATCAGACTGACTTTACCATTTTACACAGAGAGCCTTTCTATTACAAAATCTATTTGTCATCTCTGGTGAAACACTGGAATGTTGTTACACAGGACTGGAAGTTAAGCTTCTTTATCAGAGGTCCAAACCCAAACCTTTCACTAACTGAGCATGCCTGTCAAGTCCTTCTCTTGTGACAGGAACAGAAGGAAAAGTATTATCCTAGAAATTACTTTTTACATGCTCTTTTACTAGATCTCTCTCTCAAACCTTTAACTTTAAAATACCCTCTCTTCTTTTTATAGCCTGAAAACATACTATGTGTAAATCACACAGGAAACCAGATTAAAATTATTGACTTTGGATTAGCAAGGAGGTAAGAGAGTTCAGTTGTGAATTTATTTTGAAAACCAAACCCCAATCAAATTCACAAACCTCTGACCTGGTTTTGGTAGTTCTTTCAAAGGGTTGTGTTTTAGTGGCTCTAAAATAATTCTGCTATGTGAATGAGCTAAGCGTTATGCTTCTGCAGGCATGAGTTTTCTGCTGTGTGCATTAATTATCTAATTACTTTTTCAAATTACATTTCTGTTGGATAAAGCTATACTGCTGTTCTAATTATCTCAAAATTATTCCCCATGTAGAGCTTTTACTCTAGGGACTCCATGAAGGCTCTCAGAGACTTCTTGACTGCTGGGTTTCATTGTGCAGGTTCTAGTTATAGAAATTATCTGCTAAACTCTTTACATAGCAAAGCTGATTGAAAGAAAAAAATGGGGGAAAAACCCGAGTTTGAGCCACCCCATGTGAAACAGGAAACCCTCAGAGAAATATGGACTTTTCTCCATTCTTTTACTTTGTTTGCATGAGTTTGTTAAAGGAAAACTGTGAGAGCATGAGTCAATTGCCCTGGAATACAAAGGAATTATTTCCATTAGCATACCAGTAAGAACAATAACATTTCTCTATTTTCTAACCCCCTTGAGGCTTTTCTTAAGCCAAAAGCTGGTACATTGATGCATATATGTACTTGTGTGCACGTATGTAAGATCTGTTCAAGGACTTTGTCTCCATAAAATACTTCTGAAGGAAAAGAAATGTACACATTGTTTTTTTGTTTGTTTAAATTGGGAAGGTAAAGATACAAACTGCTATTAAAGCAGTTTTGAAAACAAGATCCTCCAGGAAACAGATTTAAAAGCAGTGCTTTAGTGGTTTGTTCAGTCTGTACATAGATGTAACTTCAGCTGCCATCAGTGACAATTGCTACTGGTTCAGTAACAATTCTGGTTTGAGATGTTACTGGTTCAGTACTGGTTAACAAAAAGGTAACTGGTTCAGTAACCTTTCCCTTTAAGCAATAGAACATAATCATTTCCCCCCTATGTGGTGTCACTATTTAACTTGTTACAAGCCCAAATAATCATCTTCAGAGTCCCACCTTAGTAGTTATATTGTGTTCATATGTGTGATGCAGACCTTTGCCCTGAGCTGTAACTGGGCACATCCCACTAAGCAAATACTCTCCAAACCTTTTGTAATCAAAGCTGCTTTATTTATTATGTTGGACAACATCTGCCAGAAAGCATCCTGTGGTGCCTGGCAGAGAGTAAAGCTGCTACCACTCTGTGGGAGAGGCCTTTGCAGGCTTTAGTGTCCTTGGTGTTTCTCCTGGTTTTGCCCTGGCGTTGGGATGGGTGATGGATATTCACCTGAGGTCACCTCAGTGCTGCCCTGATGGCCTGGGTGTCAGTTCTGCTCCCTCAGCCCTGTTGACACGAAAAGCCCTGCCTTGCTCTTCCCTCTGTGAGATTTGTCCCCAGCCCGTGCTCGACACTGACCTCTCTTTGTTCCGGTACAGGTACAAACCCTGTGAGAAACTGAAGGTTAATTTTGGGACTCCAGAGTTCTTGGCTCCTGAAGTGGTGAACTATGACTTTGTTTCCTTCCCAACGGACATGTGGAGTGTGGGGGTCATCACGTACATGTTGTGAGTAACCCCATGAGGGGTCGTGGTGATGAGGGGTCTGCAGGGCAGGAATGAGCAGCCACTGAGCCCATCTGGCTGTGACTCCTCCTAATTAATTCTGTTAAAACCCCCAGCTTTTAATACAAAGGCACCTCGCTGTGTGCACAAAGTCTCTAAACAACAAGTAATCCTTTTGACCAGTATGTAAATGTTCTTCTCCCTTACCATCTTAAAATGGGTCAGGGTTTTTTTTTCACTCAGAAAAGCTGCCCAAAACAAGTGAGAATTTCCATTTTGGCTGTGTTTTTTAGGACTTGAATTAATTTTCAAATTTGCAATCTGAGCATTTTATTAGCTTCGACTTGGTGTGCATCTGCACAGGAGCATTAATCTTATGGTTTTAGGCCATGGGTCTGAAAAATGTCTTGCCATAAATAGGGCTAAAACTTTTCTCTGATACCTGGATGGCAGCCATGGACAGCCTGTCTGTCCAAAGCCTCTGCCTTCTGATGGCTTTGCATCCCAGAATCTTTCACAAGTGTTTTCTGGGGACTGGATACATTTCTGGTTTAAGTTTGTATGTTAGCCAAAACCCAACTGAATGAAGTAAAGAATGATGGAAGCAATAAGTCTGGGCTTAGAGACTAATGGGAAAAAGTAATCTATTGTTCAGAATTCTGTTTAAATCAAGCCACATATCGATATGGGCCTTGATTTGGGAAAGCTCTTGAGTCCCCCTAGCTTTCCTAGCTGGGAAAGCACTGAAGGATGTCCCTGGATCCCCATGGAATCCATTTCCTTGGGGATCTAGGAACAGCGCTCCCTGACGAGCCGAGTGAACTGCTGGAGAGTAACACTAAAATTACAACATGATATTGCCTCAAAATGTTGGCTTTTCTTAGCAGGGACTAAGTGGAACCCTCCATAGCTGAGAGCTTTTCCTCTGCATGGGCTAACAACAATTATAAAGCAGAGTATTCATAGAAGGAAAAACATATCTTGCATATGGTAACTCCTCTCCTCCCCTTCTTTGTTTTTTTAAGGCTTAGTGGCCTGTCCCCATTCCTGGGAGAAACTGATGCAGAGACAATGAATTATGTACTCAATTGCAGCTGGGATTTCGATGCAGAAGCATTTGAACAGCTCTCAGAGGAAGCGAAAGACTTTATTTCCAGGCTGCTCGTGAAGGAGAAAAGGTACCTGTGTGTCTGATCATGAGGACAGTAGCACCTAATGACATCAAGTTCCTATCAGCCAATTGTTTGGATTGCAGTCAACAATGAGAACTTACTATGTGACATTTTTGTATGCTGTATCTGGGCTTGCTGGGCAGTTCCTCAGTAATTCAGAAGTCCCTATTTAAAAGGAAAGTGTCTGTGTACCCTGACTTAATAAAGTTGGTTTTAACAGTTGAGAAACACAACACAGGAAATCTGGAAGGATTTGCAGTGTAGGAATCTGTCTCTGAAGCTTTTGCTTCTCTGAGCAAAAACTATTTCTATTGTTACTCTGGATTCTCACAAGCCCTGACACAAATTGCAAAAATGCCTCTTGAATGCCACGGAGGATAAATGGAAGCTGCAGCTGTGAAAATGTGCATTGTTCTCTTCTAAAGTGGTCTACAGGCATTTGGGAGATATTAAGGAGCATTTGAGAATTAACTCTGCATGTGGCTTCTTAGTCTTGGCTCCACTGAGATAAAAAGTGATTGCACATATGAAACAACAGGAGAAATGAGAATGATATTGATGTCAAATCATGGCTGTGGGGTTGGATGAGAAATTTTTCTCATGCCAAATAGTGATATAAAACTAATCAAACCAGGAAATGATGCATACAGTAAAACAGATTGTGTGTTTGAGGGGAATTCAAAGCAGTGCTTAGAATATTAACAACTTCCAGATCATTACCTAAATCAGACAAATCAGTTCTAGAACTTAATTGCATTTTGAATAAGTCCTGTGATAAGCAAAGAAGAAACTGAAATTTAGCATATTGCCAGCAGGAGAGAACAAATGGGTTTTTCTCAGGCTGTGATGATGATTTGCTATGAGACTTTAAACTTGGCTTTGGAGTCTTCAGTTTTTCTGTGCAATGGGAACTGGAGCTCCAGAGGGACACTCTGCAAAGTCTGGTTAGAATCTGTGAATGAAAGGATTAAGAGTGTTGTCAGTGAGTTGCCAAGAACAACTGTCTGGCCCAGTTGTTCATGAGTTGTGTGGCAGCCCAGCTCTCCTACTGACCAGGCACCTTTGCCATGCTGGGACAGTGGGTCTGGCCTTGTGCAAGACCTTTCCCTCCCTCCCCTGACTGCTGAAATCAGGGCTAAGCAGGCTGGAGTCATTGGAACTCATGTTCTCGGTGACAGCTCAGCCAAAGCTCATGAGTTAGGCATAGGCTTTTGTTTTGAAAAAGGCAAATTACGGTCTTTTCTCAACACCATCTACCTCAAGATTTCCTCTATTACCATGTATTTCCCAAAGCTTTTAGGATAGACCAGGACATTTTGGCCCATTTCTGGATATCAGGATATTATAACTTGTGCTCAGCTTGATCTAAGTTTAGGGTGAAGAGGCAATTGTGCTTTTTAAATATGAGGCACAGAATAAGCCTATGAGGACAGAGAGATAACACTACAAATGTTACTCTCCTGTCAGCAAAGTTCTGCATTTGCATCATAAAATGATGCATACACTGATGAACTCAAGCACAGCTCAGCCCACCCACGGCAGACCCGCCAGCTGCTCTGCACCCCCCTCACCCCTCAGGCCAGAGAGGGCAGGGTGTCGTTAGGATGCCATGCACTGGGATCCACGTCATCTCAGGAAGCATTTTCACTTGTGTTCATTCATTTGAGGCAGTTTGTTCATCAAGGGCACTGAGGAAGTGGCAGCAAGGGTGGCTGGGCTGACAGGGCTCGTTTCCTCCCTCAGCTGCAGGATGAGCGCGACTCAGTGTCTGAAACACGAGTGGCTGAACAACCTCCCTGCCAAGGCCAAGAAGTCCAAGCTGCGCCTGAAGTCCCAGTTGTTGCTGCAGAGTTATATGGCTCAGAGGAAATGGAAGGTGAGGAGACAAAGTCTGGCAAATCTATTTCCAGGGGGGAAAATCAGCTCAGCACAGGCAGAGCCATTCTGTCCTTTTGTGTGTCGGCTCACTTGTTGCCCACAGGCTTCTTTATTGTAAATGCGAGTTGAAAAGTCTATTTTCATTTATAAATTAAGTATTTTGTCCTGCAGAAGGGTATTGCTTCTATTTTTAGCATGTTTGGTTTGAATTTTCACTATTTCTGATTGATGTTTAGGAGTTTTCCTTTTTTTTCCCTGCAGGTTCAGAGGCCTCAGGTGCTACTTAACTTATACTAAATGTTCTTTCTCATTATACTTTTTCCACTGACAATAGTTGCATTCATCTGTGTCACTACTGAATAGGGTTACAACATTAAGGCAGTTTGTGCCTCCCAGAGTAGAAGTGTGGGAGAGAGAGAGAAAAAAAAATTAGCCTTAAACCCATCCAGAGAATTCTTCAGAATCTTTCTGATAATCCCAGGCTTGTTCTGAACTATATTTTTATGAAGAAGTGATAGGTAATCATCTGTGTTGGAGTCTCTATTAGATTGTAGGTAATTGATCAAATTATTTGGTTTATTTATTTATTTATATTTGGTTATTTATTTATTATTTTATTCAATTGATTTATCTATTACTTAATTGAGAGGTGAACACAGTGATCTTGTTAGAAAGAAGCCGGTGGAAATGGGAGGCAAGCTCAGTGAGGACCATTTCCTTCTCTTTTTGTCACTGGGGAGTTTTAATTCCTTGCCAAGGAGTTAAACCAGAGGTTTACGCTTTTTCCAGTCCCACACTTCAGCTGTTCGGTGACAAACTTCTGCACTTGTATTTTGAAAAATACATAACCTAAAGACCTTTCACTGTACAATCCATAATACACAGTACCAGCAGAACCAGTGGTTCAGCACTGCAAAACACACAAGGTGTGGGTCACGAGAGGCAAATGGATTTACCAAGGAGAAAAATCCATGTCAGCTGCAGAAAAGGTCCTTTCACTCACACTTGAACTGTTCTGTTCTGTTCACAGAAACATTTTTATGTGGTGGCTGCTGCTAACAGGCTGAAGAGATTTCAGAGTATGTCTGCCAAGCTTGCATAAGGTTGTGTGAAGCATCCCCCACTCTTGGAGATGGACACAAAGCCATGAAAGAAGGACACTCGATATCTTCAATAATTTCTACCCCCGTTTTATAATGTGAGGTTCTGGGACTGTCCTCCTCAGTTATTGTGTGTGTTAGTGCTAAGGTGCCAGAAGTGCCTCAAGGAAGAGGCACTGAAATGATTTCTGAAAGCAGAAGCTACTTTGTTTGTTTTTTTCAAGTTTTGAGTTGTTTTAAGTAGTGGTGGAAAAACGTGGCTGTTACTGGGGCTGACTTCTTGCTGAAGGCTTTGATTCTGCAGAGTGGTGTTGGTGTGTGGTGTGTTTACACCACAAAATCCTTGGTCAGTTTTCTCTCACACCAAGAATGCAATCTGGAGACTTTCTTACAGAGTGATGTATGTTATTTTTAAAGGATTGCTACAACAGTGGCACAACTTCTCCATCAGCTGTTTGTTACTTAGAACAAAAGATAACCGATACACTTTTCTTTGCATTTCTTTCAGAAAGGTTATTTTTTTTCCCCAGAACAAAAGATAACTGATACCCTTTTCTTCTGCATTTCTCTCAGAAAGGTTATTTTTTTCCCCCAAACATGATAGGTTTAAATTGTTTTGGTTTGTTCTTTTGGTGTGTTCTTTTTTAATCTACTCTCTGCTTTAGAAAAATAATGACTGCATAATTAGGAACTATGAGGAATCCTGGTTTGAAGCAGTTCAAGTTGGTTCATTGCTGCTGTTTCTTATGGCAAGTGGAATTGAGCTGAACTGATTGAGCTTCTGGAAGGAGATATGTGAACCTGCCACAAATACAAATCATGTAACAACCACTGGGTCTGTGCAAAAAGATCTCGTGCTGTACAGAAGAGATTTCCAGATACAGTTTTTTTAGATATTTAAAACTTTTAAGTGCTTCTCATCGGCTGTGACTGCAGCCCTTAAGTTTATAAGTTTTAGTTTGAGGATTTTTTCTCCTCTCTGAAAATTTTAATGAAGTCTGAGAAGCTGATATGGTGTGACATGCAAAACAGGTTTTATTTCTAATAGGTTCAGTGACAGGGATGTGTTGTCAGACTCTGCCTTTAGTCCAGTTAGGAGGTTGAAGCCCTTTTTTTCTCCCCACTTTGCTCTTGAACATTAAATGTTTTCTTCACAGTACTAACTTATTTTGGATTTTAAGCTTTTTTTTTTTTTTCCTGATGTATAGAGTGGGCACCACTTAAAATCTCTCGGATAAAAGTATAACATTATTTATTAAACTCGTGGTTTCCTGTTGTAGATTCTGCAACACTCAGTGTGAGTTGGATGGGCCCTTAGGAAAAATGGAAAGTAATACTTTTATTAAAACTGTCTTTCCAGCAAAGGTGTCTGTAAGGCTCCCTTGAACTTTATGGACTTTCACACCCCTTGAATTAGCAGATGCAGTGTTTGTTGCTAATGAAGAGATTTGTAGGCTGGCTTACTCCAGCCTAATTACCTTATCCACTCAGCTGCTTCTCACTTTGCAGTCCCAACTTATGCAGCATTTCCAGAAGTGGGACAAAGAATTATTAAATCCAAGTGAAACGATCTTGATAATTTATCACCTTCTATGAAGGTCCACTTTTGTTCATGTTTTCCTTCCACAGCAGTTCTGCATGCTAAATGTGATTATATTCATTGGTCTGTATATTTCTGAATACTAATAAATTTCATGGAAGTGGAACAAGCCTATACTCAATCAATTTTGGTTTAAACCCCATTGCCAAACCAACCTGAAAGCATCTCTTTGTAGGTCTTAAAAACAGAGTGCTAATGGGTGGGATTATCTCCTCATGTCAGGCATTTTGTCACAGCTTTTACTCTTAGTGGGTAACTATCCTTTATTTTCTGTGCACATCAAAAATTTGAGTCCATTCCCTAATAGTTACTGTTACATTTCAGAAGTCTCACCTGGAATGAAGTTAGCTCTTGCTAATTAAAGTTGGCTCCAAGCAATCTCCTTTTTTTAATACATTGGGAGAAATGAAAGAGGCCACGAAGTTTTAATTTTCCTATTAGTATGTGCTGCTTCTAAGAATGTAACATAGAGTTCCTCTCTGCCGTCTTGTACGTATCTCCTCTCTATTTTCTACAGAGAGAAGTTGCCTCTGGCCAGCAGGATGACTATTTTGTTTCTAATATAAAGAAATCCCTTTAGAAATCTAATATGAAGCCATCCCGTGGTTCTGCACAACAGTGGGACCCACCCCTGCAGCCTGAGGGGATAGTTTCACCATGTGCATTTGGGATCTACAGAAAGCTTAAGGGATGAACCACAGGTGAACTGAGTCCCTGGAAGAGTACATGACAAAAAAGAACTGGCCCCACTGATATCTGATTAATGATACCAGCTATTGTAATCCTGCTGTGATCAGTGTCTCACGTGAGCAGGGAGTGTGCACAGCAGGGAGACATTTGGCAGAGCATTAAAATACTGTTAAGAAGCTCAGGTGGGTGCAGGGTTTCAAATCTAAATGCTCAGACATAAGATAATTTATCTTGCTTCATACAGACACTTGGGGCTTTTGGGTTGCTTTTGACATGAGTGTTATGAAAGTAAACTTTTCTTTGTACATCCCAGGCAGAAAACATGCCAGAGAAATGGAACAAAGACTTGGTTTGTTTTGTTACAGTTACATCAGGCCTGCACTGCTAAAAGTCATGTTTTTTTCCTCAAACAGTAGTTAAAACAAATTACAGTTTGAGAAGCTGGGATGTCAGTGTAGCATCACAGATGTTGCCTCCACAAATTACAGGGCAGGGCCCTCTCTCCTCTGAGTTTGACTGTGAAACACAAAAAAACCAATACCCAGTCAAGATCCTTGTCCCCTGGTTATCTTCCCTCTAAAAGCACAGGCATCTCCTGTGTGTCTTTTACTTTGTTTTTTAAGTACATCTGCCAAGAACATGATGTCATAATACAAAGCTTTTCCTTCCACCGCTTTTATTGTTTCTTGGAATATTTGGGACCTCCTATAAAAGCACAAGAGACTTCATTCCTATACACATGAAAATAAGTCAAAATCAGTTACTAAACAGTATTTCTTCAACAGTAAAAAATATAAAAGCAATTTTAAAAAAAAAAGTCTTAATTTCTCTGCTGGCTTTGCAGATTAACTTTGGTCCCCTCTCTCTTATTTCACTGACTGCTTCCAGCCAGGGGCTCAGGGGCCTGGAGCTTTTATCTTATTTACATTTAAAGTAGCATTAGAATGTTCCTTGCTTCTTGCAGCAAGAGAATGAAGTTATTTTACCCCCTTAATGCCAAAGCTGCTCAGGTACCAGCTTGGTGAGTAGTCAAGACAGGCTTCCTGTAAAATCACCTCAATCCTGGTGTCATTTTATTAAAAATAACATTCTTCAATGCTTAAAAACTAAACAAAATCAGCTGGCTATGAGGCAGCCATCAGTCATGCTACTGAAGTACTGGTAGAGCAGAGGGATAGTTAGGATTAAGAGCAAGCAGCAGTTGCATTACTGGGTGGCATTACAGAGGCAGCACTATTTGTCTCTTGTGCCTTAGCAGCGTTTTCCAGGATTTTCTTTTTCCATTCTTCATAGTCCTGCTTTGTTTCAGTCTTGGGCCGTTTATGTGGCATCTCCTCATCATCTTCAGATCCTGTGAGGGAACAAAAAGTCCATGACAGGCCATCATGGTGGCAGTGAGCGCATGCACAGACACAAGCAGGGGGTCTGTCCCTGTGTTATCTGATCTTGTGGTTTGCTGCTCCTCTTCACCTTTGTCTGAACAGAAGAGTTAACCTTAATTGTACTAGGACTACTCAGTATAAACTCCATTATCCTTCTGCCAGGTTCTCTCCATCCTTCCATAGCCAGTGGATGCAGGATGGAGCGAGCTGCTGTGAGATTTTGGCCTATCCCACAACTAAAATACTGACCAGCAATAAAGCTCAAGACTACCCTGGGGAGGTAATTTTCACTCATAGCTGAGCTCAACTTACCATCTTCCTGCTCACAGTGCTCCAGGCAGGTCTGCAGGCTTTCAGGTGTCTCTTCAGCCAGTGGAACATCATCTTCTAAAAAAAATAAGTAAGTTGCTTTACTTCTGAGTGGTGTTTGGGGCCCCACGGGTGGCCTACATGTAATAACTAGACAGCACTGCCACCTTCCAAAAATAATGTCACCCAGTCAGAGCAGGTCCAGATTGATGCTAAAGTTCTACAGGCAGAGGTGCCAACACACTTGAAGGGTTGCATGGACTGACTGCTTTAATTAGCAGGTTGCTAATTAGCAGCAAAATGCTGCTGCATTTGTATCCACAATGATCCACCATGTTCATTGCCCAAAATCTACCCTTCTAGATTACTGTGGCAGGATTGTCAGTTATTTCTTCCCCTTCTATTCCATTTCCACAGTTTGTATTACAGATACCCACAACATGCACAGGGCTGTCCCTGTGTACAGATACATGATCCTCCCTGAACTGGTAAAGAAACTCCCAGCTGCCTTTAGCTGCTTTAGTGGTGGGGTAAGGTTTGGGTTTTTATAGGGCACTGTACTGTGGGAAGGTCCATGCCTAGGAGAGCTGCAGCTTTTGGTTTAGGTTCAGGCTGTATGTTCCACAAAACTTCAGGATATGAAGCATGAACACAGGGTAACTCTCAGTGGGAAAGTCAGAATGAAAGCCTGGGAAAGGGAAAAGGAGAGAAGTAAGAAGCAGCAGAGATAGAAGGACAGGAGGGTGTGGATCATATCTCAGTCTTTTTCCTCCAAAAAAAGGAGTGAACTGCAGGCTTAACCACAGGTAAGAATGGTTCCTCATGTCTGCCCACTGTGTGGAGGGATGGTGTCAAGGAATGGCTGAGTTATTACCAGAATTATGCTTGTTAATCCTGCAGTGGGGAAAGGAAAGCATAGTAGTGAGTCAGTCAGAGCACGATGTTTGTGTTAAAATGTGTCATGTTGCCATGTTAACGGGATGCAGAAAGCAAGAAGGAGAAATCCAAGTTGGGTCGGGTAGTATGGGGGAAGCAGGGAAGAAACTGCAGCAGAGACTGTAAAGGAGCAATGGGCAGTTGGGAAGAGAGGAAGATACTTATTTTTGGCCTTGCCACATGCTAAGCTATTGTGACTTCCCCAGAAACAATGACTGTGACTGGGAACTGGGCTGCAGGAAACATGCTGGAATGGATTGGGCAGATGTGGCTGAAAGGGGCAGCTAAAAGTGATCAGAATGAAATCATCAGTGGAAAAGGATGGGGAACTGGGAGGCCATGGGATGGGTGTGATGTCTTACAGGGACAAAGCCAAAGACTTACTTCTGAGTTGCTGGCCTATCTTCTCCAGCTGATTGCACAGCCGGTCAAATATTGCTCTTTTCACTCCAGATGTGGCCACCATTTTAGTTTTGTCCACTTTTAGCTTCAAACACCTATAAGAGAAAGTTGTTATCTCTGTACAAAGCAACACTCCAGCAACTATTAATTATGTGAAGTGATAACTGCTGTACCAACACTACCTGGAAGAATGAGAAAGGCAGGCCTGAGTTTTGTCCTACCTATCCTTGTCTCACTCAGAAATTTGCTACCAGACCCCTACAGTATTCAGTCAATACAGATCAGGAATTGAAACTCACAGTGAGTTCAAGTTACATAAGGAAATTGTATTGGGAAAAAGTATTTTTCAGATTTTCAAGGAACCAGAACAAAATCCCACTACTGCAAAAAGCTGAATGAGACCCCTGTGTCAAAAGAATCTTTGTCAGTCTCTGCTTAGTAAGGCTGTTACAAGGTGGAATGCTGAGGAAATCTTTGCACACAAGATAATTCTTGCCAAGTGTTGGCTGAGTCATGCAGCTCTTCCTGATCTGGGCCCACAGCTACCAGAGCCATCTCCAGAGGCCAGAGCACCCCAGGATGTGATGGTGTAGGCTCAGGGCTTCTCCTTATCCAGAAAGGCTGTTTCTTGGTGCTCAGGAGTGAGCTGGTAGCCATTCTTACACCTTGAGCAGTATTCCTCCAAAATCCATATAACCTTCTGCTGTGTACAATGTAGGCTGGAGACTTCAGTGCAAGCAAAGGCCTGGTTTGCTACAGCTGTCCCTATTTTCAGGAGCAGGGGAGCAGCACATGCTAAGCAGGACCCTAGATGAAGCAGCTGCTTAGATTGCTCAGTGTGTCACCAGGCATTTCAGCCTCCAGGAGATCCCCCAGCTACACTCACCTGCATGCAGTGAATAGTGAAGCTGTTAAAAAAAGTGGTTTTGAGAAATCAAGGTCCATCCTCTGCGCTTCAGAAAGGCTGGATTCATACCTAGAGAACAGCAAGGGATAATTGGATACTGCATTTGCCTCAAAGGAAGCTGCTGCAATACATCTGTCACGTGGGACTCAGCAGTTAAGGGGTCTGTTGGACCACTTGGTCCTTTGCAACCCAGTCAAGCAGAAACAGCTGCTACTGGCTGAGAAGAGCAAAAAAGACCAGGGAAAAGAAAGGGATTGGGATGACCTTGCTCTTTTTGAATTAAAGGTATTTTAAACTGGAGCTCTGGATGAAGGCATGTCAGTAAAATCTGTTTCTTGTGCTCTCCATCCACACAGTACTTTTAGCTCTACACTACACCTAAAAATTACAATGAGATGCTTTGCATAAATCCATCCTACAAGAGAGGGCAGCATTATAGATTCTTGGACTTCTACAATATGTATGTTACACAGATGGAGGCTTAAATATGGAAAACGACATAGTGAATGTGCAGCACTGAAGAATTTAATTTTTGTTGTCCACCTGTCCCCAGGCTATTTTTTTCCAGTTTGTACTAAGCACCCAAAAGCATGCACAGCCTTTGTTCACTGACCTAGCAGCATTTAAATGTGCTATCAGAGTGACAGCACAGCAGAACAGAGCCCTTCAGGGACTGCTCTGATTAAAGTAGGTATTACAGAATAGGAAATTTTAGTTAACTCCCTTGAATACACTGAAGTGTTCTTACCTATTGGTTTTGCAGGTAATTTGCATTTTAAGAGGTCTGCGTCTCCAGAAGGGAAGATTTCTCTCTACTGAGCATTACATCTGAACTGTGCTGTGATCAGCAGTTAAATGGATGACGGTCTGATGCTATGGACAAATAGGGGAACTAAGAGTGCTGTATTTTTTTACACTATTCCCAGCTGAAGAATTTAGAGTCAGACAATGACTTACTGAGATTCACAGACTAAGTCTTTTCTCATGTATTCCAAAAAGTGGCCTGGATCATGGCTGGATTGTCAGTGCTAAGAACTCACCTCACTGCTCCAGTGGGAATATGTGCCCCTTCCAGACATCAAGCTCTTCACACATCTAATGAACAAAGAATCTTACCAGTGTTTACCAGGAGAGCTTCCTCACCTCTGTAGTATTTCTGCAGCCATGTTCACTGCCTCTGTGCAGCAAAACTGCACAGCCAAGTCTCGCATTCCCAGCCTGGGGTTCACCTCCAGCAAACACTCCAAGGACTTCATGGAGTTCTGGTAGGTGTTCTTGTTCAACCCGGAGAGTTTAACACAGTAGCTCTTTCAAGAAGACAAAGACAAACCCCAAAAGTTAGCAAGATTCCTTCCTGAATGCCACAGTGATATCATTAGACCATTTCACTGGAAATATGGTTTGATATTTCCATATAATGTGACCTGTCCCTTTTATCCCAAGATGGTTAAAACCAAGAATTAGCAAAATCTGGGGAACTTGAAGACATGAGCATCACCTTCCTGCTACTCCTCATGGGGTCAGGTCCAATTAAATTCTCCCCTGTCTGTAAACGGAAAATCATGAACATCTTATTCCAGGCATTATTTTGGCAGGTTTGCAGGTGGAGGTTTATGGTACCTCTACAGAGGGAGATTCCTCGGAGCCCCTGCTTCCCCCCAACAGTAAAAGGGACAGGTCTTAAACTTAACATCCCTGCTGGTAATTTATTTGCTACTAAAAGAGTTGAAATTATACCAAAGCAAGCTCAACTTGAGAAGTGACTACGACACTGATCTAAATTTGCCGTTTCAAACTCTAAATAGTGAAAGCCCTAACGCTGTGTCTAGCAGCACACTAGTCAGTCAGTTATTATTTCCCTTTCCTGCTCCCAGCATACACTTCACAGAACGATGATTTCAGTGGGCTAACACAGAATGCACTGACAGCCACCGCATCTTACTTTGTCAATCGGTTGTTTCATGAAACTCGCCGCCAGGTCCAGGCACATCACAGCGCTGCTGGTCGCCGTCATTTGAGCCATTAACCCCGTGCACTTCACCTGGGACAGCCGCAGATACTCCTCGGCTTTCCTGCAAAACACAAAGCCCTCGTTGGCATGTCACAAGAACGTGCGGACGGGACCCGCTCCCGGGTTTCTCAGCCCAGCTGCCCGGCTGCAGCACAGGCTCGGGGACCATGGGGTGTGCTCGTAGTGATGAGCAGCGGGACGGCACTGCAGGGTCAGCCCCGCATGCCTCGGGGTCCGCCACTCCACCACACCCACAGCCGGACAGCGCTGTGCGGGGGAGCGGGGCGGGGGCAGACGGCGCAGAGCGTGTCCCCGATCCCTGCGGTGTGTGTCCCGATCCCCGCGGGGGTGTCCCGGTGTCCCACGGGGTGTGTCCCCATCCCGCGGTGTGTCCCGCTCCCGCCGTACCCCAGCAGGGCGGCTCCCCTCAGCCCCAGCCTGGCCGCCATGTCCCTCACAGCCCCGCGCTCCATCGCCCGCCGGCCGCTGTCCCGCGCGCGCCGCTCCGCGACTGGCGGGCCGGGCCGTCAATCACCGGCCCCTCCGGCCAATCGGCGCGCGGCGCGCCTCTCGCGCGCGGCGGGCCAATGGGGAGGGCGCGGCGGGGCGGCCGGGGCGGGGCGGCGCGCGCGGCGCAGTCACATGACCGGGCGTCGGTGGCGGGGGCGGCGGCAGCGCGACCATGGTGAGGGTGAGGGGGCACCGGGATCGGCACCGCGCTTGGGGAGCGGCCCGAGGGGACACCTGGGCACACGGGCAGCCTGGGCCAGCTCGGCCTGGGCCCCGCGCACCGCTCTGGGCCACCCCGCTGGGCCCGGCGGGTGCGGGGCTGCGGAGGCCGCACGGTCCGGCCCGGGCAGGGCGGAGGTGCGGGCTGGGCCTGGGGCCGGTCCCCGCCCCGCCGCGTTCGGCTCGTGGGGGGCGCAGGGGAAATGGGTGTTTTCATCGGGGTGTTTTTGTTGCTGCTCCGGCGGGCAGAGTTCCGGGCTGTTTTGTCGCGCTGCCCCTGGGATGGAGCCGGCGTTGTGTGTCTGCCGGTGCCGGGCACGTGTGCCCGGGCTGTCCGCCCTCCAGCCCGCTCTGCTGACCCTCAGAACTGCTGCCGCAGGCTGCCCTACTCAACTTCTTTTCCGTCAGGAAAGGTCGTTTCGCATTGGTGGGCCCAGCTCATTAGTGCTGTTGGGCGCAAATGTTGGTGTTAGAAAGACAGGGAGGGTGTAGCCAGGTGGGGGTCGGGCTCTTCTCCCAGGCAAGCACTGACAGGACGAGAGGACACAGCCTTAAGATGTGCCGAGGAGGCTTAGGTTGGACATCGGGAGGAATTTCTTCGCAGAAAGGATGATTAAACATTGGAATGGGCTGCCCAGGGAGGTGGCAGAGTCGCCGTCCCTAGAAGTGTTTAAGGAAGGACTGGACGTGGCACTTGGTGCCATCGGTCTGGTTGACAAGGGTGGTTATTGGTCACGGGTTGGACTCGATGATCTCGAGGTCTTTTCCAACCCAGTTCATTCTGTGAGACCTGAAATTTCCCCATGGAAATAACACTTGCTGAGAACTGCTTTTCAGTCTACAGTGAGAATAAGGAGATGATCAGGTTTCCTAGCAAAACTCAAGTCCTTAGTGTGTCTTCAGTGGTATTTAATATTCAATCTTAAGCAGCGTTGCTGTAACCATCATGATATGTTAATTAATTTAAGTGTGGAATATAAATATTACTAGCAGTATATAAATAGGCAAAAAATAACTGAATGCTTTATAAAGAAGGGATTGTGCAGCTCTTGGGCTTTTGGAACAGGCTGCTTTTAGAGTTGTATTTTAAAGTTGGTATCAGTTGAATCCTTTATCCTGGGGGGGGTGGTGTGGGCAAACCCTGTAATGTTACTTAAAGTGGAATGGTAAATACTGAACTGGGTGATGAGAAATGCTAAATCTATGTAGACAGTAGTCTCTGTCCCCCACATCAATATTTTGTCATAGTCATTGACTGAGGAACAACACAAGTTTTCTCTGCCTGTCATTTCCATGGGAATTGGCTTGAGACTTGTCTGGTTCGTGGCTTCTTTCTAAGAATAGCTGATATGAGGTGATTCAATAAAATATAAACTTACAGGTATTAAACTTGGGATAATCCCCTTTACCAAATTAGGCTCCACTGCTATTTCCTATGGCTGAGCTTGGTTTAAACCTTGAATCTGAATGCTTACGTGCCTTCAACAAGACTCATTTTAAGAGGACTTTGGCTGATTTTGATCATCTCCCGAATAAAAGTCCATCTCTTTGATAGTCCTTAGTGTCTTATGGCTTCTTGCATCAGTAGGTTTCGATGTGTGAAAAACGTTTTCATCTCTCAGGTTTGTCTTTGTGCTTTGTCTGTGGGATATAATAGAGGTTCTGGGGCCCTTGGTGTTGCAGAGTAATGCTTCCTGTATGGTATCAAACACTTATGCTTCTTTTTGTGTGATAATTCTCCCAGTGCCTCCCACAGCAGGGCATTGTGTGCACCCAGGCTTCATCTGCAGGCTGGCACTTGTCCCGATTCACTATCATACCTAACCCATCTTCTCTCTTGGGCAGCATTAATTTTAAGTGGCTCAACAGTGATTGATTGGTAGGTAGTCTTAATAACATGCAGCTGGGAGGAGGAGGCAGGAAAACCTCCTTGGGTGAATCTCACTTGTTGTGGTATTAAACACAAGCATGTGAGCAAACCAAAGTGTCTTGTGTGGAATAGGCTGTGTAAGCACATCAGTTATCTAAAGGAAAGAACTTGTGGAGATTAGATGAAAATGCACATTAGAATGGAAGCAAAACCTTCTCTTCTGTGTTTATACTCTGCAACTGCTGAAGATACCCGTGTGTCAGAACATGAGCTGTTTGGTAGCTTGACAATCTCACTCCAACTCTGCTCAGTGTCAGTACTGCAAGGCAGCAGATTTTTACGTGGAATAAGTCAGCATGTTGACCCAAAATAATAATCAGCTCTGGAGTGTAGCTCAGTGTCAAATATAGAACTGAATAAGACTCTTACCAAGTCTTCTCATGGAACTGAGCGTTAGAAAATCAGTAAATTGTACACGAGAGGTGTAATGTTTGCTGTGTATGTTCAAGAGTAGTTGCTGTCATGAGGGAAGGCACAGGCCAGAACAAAGTTTGCTGCTGCTGTAATACACTTCAGTAATTGTTATTTGCAGGATAACTTGTATTATCCACTCTGATCAGCTGGTTTCAAGCTGTTTGGGGTTTTAAAAAAAAATTGTTTTCCAAAACAACTTGTGGTTCACTGGCCTTGATTAAAAAAAAAAACAGCAAAGAAACAAAACCTGAAAGAAACAACAAAAAAAGGCACACCAAAAACCCCCACCAAAAGCAAACTTTACTCACTCCCCCTCCAAACTCATCTGCTGTATGTTTTGACTTCCATAACTTGCCTGTGGTAACTTAAGATAGTGCTATCTTCAAAAAAGGCTGTTGTCTCTTGTACAGAAACTGATGGTGCAGCTGTGGGAGGTTGTTCTTTGTCCCTTCTCCACTGCTCACTTGCTTCATTGTGGCTTCAGAGGAGAAAAGGTTAGGGAATGAGTAAAGCAGAAAACTCTTCACATCAGCTCTCCTTTTTAATTCAACATTTGCAGTGTATCTAATGTGGGTAAGGCTCAGGCTATTCTGAAGTCTAAATGGCTGCATAATTGCTATAAATTGCTTGTCTTGTGTTCATGCAGGAGTTTATACCTTACTGTACATGTACAAGGCAGGATACTCTGTGCCTTGGTTATGGAGTACTGCTGCTTTTGTCCAGTGTCAAAATATCTTCCACTTCAAAGGCTTATGTTCAAGGTTGTTGCTTGTAAATGGGCACAGGACTTCACATCACAGTTGCTTTTTTGATAAAATAACACTTGAAAATACCATCTTGTGTTACTAGGTTACTAATTTAAGTGGAACATAGAGAGCATGAACAGCTTTGTTCAGCATTGAATCTTTGTTCAGCATTGACAGAAGAACTGTGTTCTAATTCAGTGTGTGCCCTGCTGGATATCACTGGTGGGCTTTTGCCATATCTCCACTTCACCTGCCTTTTTCCAACACATCCTCAAACTTCAGGCGGGTGTATCAGGATATGTGTCTTAATGTGATCTTGTGTATCACTTGATAATAACCAGGTTATGTTTGCAAGTATCTTCAGTGCTGAAGCTGAAAGTAGCCTGCTTTCTGAAGTCAAAAGAAAAGGGTAAGCTGGTAAATATGCAGACTTTGAAAGGTAAGAAAGAGTTAGAACTTAAGTGGTGCTGCTTTTAAAATGTCTTCTCTTCTTGCAGAAGTAAAGCTGCTATAAACACCACCTCAGGCAACACTACTGCTTCTGTTACATGCTTGTGACAGTAGTAGTAGATTATCTTACTGTCTATGCTGCTGTAAAATGCTCCAGTTGCCTTTTCTTTAGACATGAAGTGCAATACCCTTGTGGTAAAGACATCTTTGTTTAGACCAATCACCTTCTCAATCTTCAAATCGGAACAGATACAAATATAATTTTCCTTCTCTTTCTTAATTCTCTGTATCTTGAAGAGATACCACAAGAAATTACCTTTTTTTTTCCTGTAACACAAAAATGCTGCTGTTGATGAATTCAGTCAAATACTGACTATGGTCCCAGTGCTTAATAGGGTGTGGGACCTGCCTGTTCAAATTGAGAGCAGAAAGGGAAGTACTGCCAGTGTCTTGTGTTAACACAGAATCTGATGTAAAGCTGACTCTGGTTCATTATAAATGGGAAGGTTCTGACATTCCAGTTTTCTCCCAACTGCTACTAAAAGGCAATGGTTGAAGTTTTGTAAGAAAATAGATTCATCTGCTGAGATCATTGTTGGTATCATCTAAAGCATAGTCTCCAAGTTGTAGTAGCATTATGCTATAACCAGCATGTTGTCACATCGAAAGTAAGGAAACCAGTGCACATGGAATCAGCCAACACAGCAGATACTGTGTTTTTCAGTAAATGCTTTAACTTGGTGTTGCTGTTAAAAAGCCTTCTCTTCATGGCCCCACTTGTACTGTTTTATATTGCTGTGGGGTGAAGTAATAGGTGAATGGTAAACTATCCATCTGCTGGGCTAGTTTTCCAGCCTGTTTGATGTTTCACGGCCTAAACTGCTCTCCCAGCACTGTATGGTCCCACGAACAACTGGGGATGGAGGAGCAGGGCTGGGAGCTATATGAGCTTAGTGCCCATTAGGGGAAGGGGTTTAGGAAGCTGTGGATACCATGGCATTGCTGAATTTTTTCTAGCTCTGCTTTCATAGAGATGTGTAGCAGTCAAGAGTGTATGGCATCACCTCAGGGGTGATTTATCTTCTCCAAAGCACTGCCGTGGGTTCAGGGGACTGCAGAGTGTGACCAGTGTTCTGGCACAGACATAATTCAGCAAGTCTGTTCCGTGGTGTTTCGATATTGGTTGTTGCACACAAGTCCCAGC